GATGAACACTATCGCGTCACGTGATCAATTTAAGCCAATAAGAATCGGAGAAAATTTAGTGGTGAACTATAACGCGTGATAGACTGATAGTTGACGAGTGCCCAAGTCAACTATGGCGCGATAGAACTCGAGAGCGAATAATCTAATGTGTTAACATAAATCTACTAGTCGTTCAAAACTTAATCTAAATCGTCTTCTCAGACACTTCGAAAACCCCAAGAAGCGGCCATCAGTTTGTCAACAAGGGCACGCTGCTGCGCTACTCACTATGTATAACAGAATAGATGGTGAGTAGCGTAGCCGATCAGAGAACGGCATTCGTGATAGAACGCTAGTGGATTTATTCTAACACTGAACAGACGTGCAGCAACATGGAATCTATTTGTTAAGTAGAAATATTAAAGGATTTCCGAACTGCATTGCCTCGGCATGGAAGCACATAACAGACCTTAACATGACATGACATGACATGAAGAAAGTCACGTGACATTGTTGATACCAAGACCTACCGAGTGACGGCAGATCTACTACTCTACTGTATTCTAAGAATTGAATGAATTATTTGTTGAAATTCTATAATAATTTCAGACTGCCAGGTATACACTTCCCGGCTGCTGGGTAAAAACAAAAAAAGAAGCAGGATACTTTTTAACACAAAGCGTTACGCTTGGATATTTACTACTCAAGTTGCTTCGTTGAGTATCCTCTTTATCCAATTGCATGTTGTTTGCCTCATCTTAAAAGTTCTGCTTACGACGATTCTTTGATTTTTCAACATCCGAGTTGTTTGTCTCAGCATCATGGTTTGTTTTAGCCCGCGTGGCAGGCCGTAGAAGGGGAGGGAAAGGGTCAAAATGAGCGCGGAGGATAGAGCACCCTTCGCGTGCTCGTTCTTTCCCTTTCCCTCCCCTTCGGACGCCTGCCACGCAGGCTAGATTTGCTTTTTGTCTGAGTTTTCGTAGTTTGAACTCGTAAATGGCTCCTTTGTCATCTCGTGAGAACAGGTATGAACTTTGCTCATCCGGCGGCTTAAACGATCGACAACTTCGAGTCTTTCCCAAACTTTCTTCGAAAAACACCCGAAAACACAGCATTCACACTGTTGTTAACGAAGAAGTGAGAAGAGTGAGAGCTGTCGCATTCTCATCCCCAGTTTCTCGCACTATGCTAGGAGTGACCCCCCATTTGGCGACCAAATACGACGACAATGACGAACGGCTTGCAGTTTTTGACTCAACTTGGGGGAAAATGAACTCTGGGCAAATCGCTTCGCTTGTGGGAGGGCAAAAATCCGGCCATTTCGAAATTGTGCACGGAACTGACAACTGTCTGATATAGTGTCCACAAACACCATATTAACTCTTTTAAAATTCTTTTAAGATCTCTGCAACACTCTTGTTAATGGACAAAGACAGTGATTTTCATGTCAGCTTCTCAAAATAGTAGTTGCATGACGGGATTTTACAGTTCTCACAAGTAGTAATGGCGTCTCATATGACCAGTAACAAATCAGGAGCCGAGAAAGACAATAGGCTATTGTTTGGAGAACAATGGATGCTTTTGTTCTCCAAATCCAAGATGGCCACCACAAATTTTAGCCAATTCGGAGCCGAATTAAGAATTCAAGATGGCGGCGCCCATGAAAGTCGGCCATGTTGGAAAACAGCCCACCAGCCTTGACAGAGGATCTGGGATCGGTCTCATGGATTTCCATGGCGACACAAATCACACCAGGGTCACGCCAAAAATGTCATGCAACTTCAAACTCAATACTTACATAGTCCTGTGGTCCTAAATGACAGAGGTCTGTCCGGCAAGCGGCCAGACTGAGAGACTTGGGTCTGAGTGTAGCCTATATAGGGTGGTACAAAGCATCATGGGACAATTCACTTCGGTATCCAATCAGAATGAATTAAAGTACTCACAGTGGTTGGCTTCCCCAGTCCCCCTCTCTTAAGGAGAGTATTAAACCAAACACCACACAATGTCAAATGTCACAAACTTTAATAGGAAATCTTTTGTGCTAACATTAAAAGATATGACGTCATTGCCATGTTGATCGAGTAAAAAGACCGGTTTCTATCATCATCGCACAATGTTTCAAATGAACTTTAATGTCCAAAACGTTTGCGCTAAAATTACAGAAAGCCGGTCATTGTGTCTCAAATAAGATAACACTATCAAAAGAAATGGAACAGAAATAATTTTATCCAGCGTGAATGCAATCTTTGACGAGTAACGAATAATAAGCGAAAACAAAAATTTATAGGGCAAAAGGTGAGATAAAAAAATGTAATTGAAATACTTCAAGTGGAAATGAATTGCTAATGGCAGTTGGCAATAAAATCTAAACTCCTTGATCTCGACTGTTCCCTTGAGAAAAGCATCATTCAAAGGAATCTTGAAC